ATCGAGACACCATCTCTAGCCTTTACTTAACCAAGAGCCCCAAGGCAGGGGAATTTTTAGTCGGAGTTTATTTCTCCTAGCCTTTGCATAAGAAGAGCACACTCTGCAAGGCAGCAGGGCTTGTGGCAGGTGGTACTGGGTTACGTGATACCAGTAGCAGGATTGATCTCGATTATCCTGACCTGACCTGGAGTAGTTAAAAGGAGTTACTTCCCGCAACAGTACTTTGAGAAAACCAGGCATGACATTTTGGAAGTGCATTAGGAAAAACACTGCATCTAACAAAATACAGGAGTCTAAGGTGAGTGTAGGTTTTGTAGTTGGAGTAAGTAGTTAGTTACTGAGCTCACGCTGCATTAGAGTATAAACAGAAGACAAACAAACATAAATCAACTTACGGGTGAGTCAACACCGCGCCAGAGGTTCAGACAGAACACAAACATACATAAAAAACATAAAGTAACTTACGGGTGAGCGAACACCGCGCCAGAGGTTCAGACAGAACACAGACATACATAAAGAACATAAAGTAACTTACGGGTGAGCGAACACCGCGCCAGAGGTTCAGATAGAACACAAACATACATATAACGTAGATTACAGGTGAGCTAATACAGTAACTAAGGCACCTCCAACTATATGGAAAAAAAAAAAATTACTATAGGCATGACTGATATAAGATAGTACTGATGACAGGAAGAACACTCCTTCCAGCCTTTGCTTAGATAGAAAATCCTGCAAGGCAGCAGAACATGGAACAGGTTGCACTGGGTTACATGTTACCAGTAGCAGGATGATCATGAAGACCATACTCCTGACCTGACACTTGTTGTGCGTTGCTATAATATTATAGTATTATTAGCTAATAAAAAGTAAAAATATATTAACATATACAATCTTTATAACTATATATACTATTTTTGCTTGTATCTCTGTTTTTGCGACTAGGCAACTTATTCTATTATCTCCAATGAGGGTACAGCTCTTAAATTTAGTTTTATGGTTATGAGGCCGGCTGGTATACCCGAACATTTGGTAGCTCTCAGAGTGGCTGATTTTATCAACAGCTGAAAAATATCAGAGTACTAATGGTGCCATGTTGCGCATGAATGGTGTTTGTACTTTTGGTGTGCATTGTCGAGGACACATTTGGGTCCCTTTGCTACGGCTTAGGGTTTATATATAGTAATGAGGCAATTACTTGGACTATTAAATAGTGTGCTAAGTACTATCTATGCTTTGAATCAAGTTCTTTAAAAAATTTGAAATGAATAAATTACCAAAAATTGTAAAACACAAAAAACTATCGTCATCACCAAGTTCTTTAAATCTTTCGTTTACTAATATTTGTGGTCTTCAAAGTAAGTAAAGACCACAAAAATAAAGGGGTATACATACTTGCAAAAGATAAGACTCTATTGAGTCTTATCTTTTGCAAAGGTCATCAGAACTACCTACTCTTTTTAAGACTAATTTAAGTTCAGCTGTCTCATCTTGTAATCTTAGTGCTGAGGGTTGTCTTCCTTTAATTCGTAAAGACTCCAATAGTCACGTACTTGGCCTGAACATTTACATTTGTAAGAATTCACCCGTTTGTTGGGAAACTAGGTCTGATTCTACAGATTCTTCTTTTATGTGCTTTTGTTAAGCACAACTTCACTCTATTGTGAAAGAATTATGTTTGTTAAGCACTACTTCACTCTATTGCCTTTCTCTTTGTTCTATCTCGCTCTCCTTTATCTCAAAACTGCACTCTTTTCGATGTTATTTCTGATCAAATTGACTAAGCCCTCTCTCTTTAATTATTAGTCAGATTGTTGTTGTTGTTGACTTTATTGCTCGTCACAATGAATGGCTTGGCTCTAGTGTCAGTGATTCTGCTTGCGTTAAGACTATCAACTTTTGCCTTTATCAATCTCTAACTCAATTAGTCACCTTTCCAAATTGCTTTCCAGACAACTTGAATCATTTACCTTATCTTCTCAACCTATGTCTTGTTTCTGTTCCTAGTCAGTGCTCAGTTTCTCCATATTCACCCTTAAGTGCTTCTGATCACGTCTTAACCTCTCTAAAACTTTTATCTTATTTTTCTTCATCGTCAAATCATCTTACCTCTTAAAACTACCTTGAAGCTGACTGGGACTCTTTCCGTGATGGCTCTTGGATAGAAATCTTTTGTCTTCAGGCTGGCATGGAATCTTTTATTCCCTCTTGACAATTCCAGGTCAAATTTCACAAAATCTCTTCTCCGTGGTTTTCCTCACATTGTGCTGCAGCAATTTATTAATCGAAATTGTTATTTCCATATCTATCAGCAAAAAAATTTTCCAGATACCTAACGTTTGTTTACTATTGCTAGAAACCATTGTAAAAATGTTTTGTCTAAAGCTCGCTATTCTCAGGTTATGAAATCTCGTATTTTATCACAAAAATTAGGCTCTCGTGACTTCTGGAGAGTCTTTAACAGTATCAATAATGAAAGTAAATCTGTTATTCCATCTCTCTTGTATGGTTCAGACTTTGTCACCTCACCTAAAGACAAAGCTAAATTGCTTGCCAAAAAATTTTCATCAATATCATCTATTGATTCCACTAGTTGCGTTCTGCCTGATATAGCCGTCAAACAGGTCAAAAAACTCTTATTTGTCTAGTTTTTATCCTCGAACATCAGTTCATATAATTTGAAATCTTTTAAGTCATCTATCAATTGTTACCTTGCTCTACAAACTTAATCTTTTCTCTCCCAGTAACTTCCAACTCTTATAGTGGTTGCTTGCAGCCTTGTTGGAAGAGAAGTAAAATTTTTTAAAAAAAAAAGGTTGAAAAAAAAAAACATTTCATTGACACAATGACCAATTTAAAAATTTAAAAACCTATTTTTTAAAATCATAAATTAGTCATTGAACTCCCAAATAAGGTAAAAAACAAGGTAACTAACAAAAGTTAGAGTCCAGAACCGAGAGGTCTCAGGCTCGACGCCCGCTCTAGCCCAATAAGTGACATTAGTAAGGAAACATTAACTTCATAAGTAAATGCTTTTTCGCTGTATTCTTTGATAAGACCGTAAGGACAACTGGGAACACCTTAATAACCACACAAATAACAAACAAAACAAAACAAAACAAAAAAAGAGGTAACAGTTTTACACCCATGAAACGCCACTGCAATACGCAAAAAGTACGCATGCGTATTAAGCAAATATCGAGTGAGTTAATTGTAAGTTTTTTTTGAGTGAGTTAATTGTAATTTAATAGTCGAGACTTAAATATATATATATATATATATATATATATATATATATATATATATATATATATATATATATATATATATATATATATATATATATATATATATATATATATATATATATATATATATATATATATATATATATATATATATATATATATATATATATATATATATATATATATATATATATATATATATATATATATATATATATATATATATATATATATATATATATATATATATATATATATATATATATATATATATATATATATATATATATATATATATATATATATATATATATATATATATATATATATATATATATATATATATATATATATATATATATATATATATATATATATATATATATATATATATATATATATATATATATATATATATATATATATATATATATATATATATAAATATATATATAAATATATATATATATATATATATATATATATATATATATATATATATATATATATATATATATATATATATATATATATATATATATATATATATATATATCTTGGAATATATAACTCTTGGAATAAGAAAACTTTTTTAGCTACAGAGTAAAAAGTTTTATTGCAGGCTGCAAATGTGAATGCATCCAACATTAACCTACAAGAAATGAATTTTTAAATCATCTTGGAATAAAACTTAGTATAAATTCATTCCATCAATCAATTATTTATTTACAAACATTGTATTACAGACATTTTATTACACTATGAGTTACATTATAAGATCTATGAGATAACGACGTTTTATAAATTAGCATGATTTTATGGCAATTATATGTTTTGTTTTATTTAGGATATGTTCTGTTTTTGTAAACATCTGTATCAAAATCTTATCTTTTAGATTGATGCCGGACCTTTACAGGATATATAATGTAATGGCAGCTGCTGTTCAAAATATTTATTTGTCATGTTACACTAAATGTTCAACTACTGCTGTTATTAATTTTGTATTTATGATTAACTGACTGAGTCTACTGAGCTATTTATAGCATTAACCATGCTTACCACCATTAGCTTGCAGCAATCTAATGAGCTATTGTATAATATATATATATATATATATATATATATATATATATATATATATATATATATATATATATATATATATATATATATATATATATATATATATATATATATATATATATATGTTGGGAGGTTAGGAATAAAATGATGGAAATTTTAGTCCAGATTTAATAATTAGGGAAGGGGGTTTTATTAAAAGGGCAGGTGATAATTTTTTACAGAACAGGAATAAATAATTTAGTTCTAATATAGCTAGCAATCAAATGCGCATTTTTAACAGCTGTTTTAATATAATTTAATATTATTATTATTAGTATTAATATGCTTACATATGTTGTTTTAATATAATTTAATATTATATTATTAGTATTAATATGCTTACATATGTTTTATTCTATGGTGATTTTGGCAAATCAAAGTTTAAAAAAATTTTTGAAATAATTTTCTTTAATATGTTTGGAATGTTAAAAAATGTTTTATTAAGCTTGATTTTATTAAGACTGATTTAATTTTAAAACTATTTTGGCATAGCGTAAATGGTTTAACATGTGGGTGAAATTGCCAATTTGTGTGTGTATATATATATATATATATATATATATATATATATATATATATATATATATATATATATATATATATATATATATATATATATTTAGCTTTAGAATGTTAAAAAATATATTCTGTTAGATAATAGTAATTAAATGTATGTTCTCACCTAGTAAATTTTTATATATATAATATGTAAAATAATAAATACTAGTTAAAGATGAGCAGTCGTGATGGGAAAGGAGAAGATCTCAAAGTAAGTGCTTATTTTAAATATGAAGATCTTTTTTTTATATATATTTTTTGATGTTTATAAAATTAATGAGATATGTTGTTGTTTTTATTTTAAAACTATTAACTTTTAACTATTTGAATTATTTACTTTAATTAAAATTGATAATCTTTTTGCTTCTAATGTCTTGCATGAAAGACTGTAAAATTTGTTTTTAAATGCTGACTTAATCACAGGATAGTCTTTAAAAAACTAATTAAACAATTAACAAATTGTTTTTAATGACTGTTTACAAAAAAAAAATTATGCATTTTTTATAGTCATAATAACAGATTATTATAACTTTAAATAACAGATAATAACAGGTTATTTGTCAAATTTTGTTTTTCAAAACTCTGGTTAACTGGCAAGAATTTATTTTAGGAGGTCAAACTAACAATTTTAGTTTTTTTGGGCAGTCGTTGACCGGTTGTTATTTTCCACGCTGCTTAATAGTATGTTGTGGTTCCATATGCACAGAATTGCACAAAAAAAGGAAATACACAGATAAATTGAGAAAACATTCTTAGAAGAAAGAGTTGTTTACATGAAATTTTTTTTTATTTTTTCATAATAAAAACATTGATTTAGCATAATCTAAGTTTATTTTAAGTCCTTTTAAAACTTTTTAATGTTTGTGTTATAAAATATCTGTTATTGTGGAATATATGCATGTAATGGTTTTTGTTACATGCATATATTCCACATGGAATTTTTTAATATATGAAAAGTTTTTGTTTTCAAATAGCATGTATTTTGTTGGAAACTTGTCGGAAAAAGTACATACTTGCATAAAAATGTATTTTTCTCATTAAAAATTCTTTTTCATGATAGTCTTTATTTAAAACCATTTCGATTAATTATATAAAAACATTTGAAAAAATCAGTGTTAAAGTTTCTTATTACAAACATAATTGTAAGTGTAGTTTAAAATAATTTTCTTTTACAGTTTTAATTTTTTGAGTTTTGTTTTTTGTAAAGTTTCAGTTTTTAAAGTTTAGTTTTATTTAATTTTTTTTTTGTCTGTTTCTAGAAAACTAAACTAAACTGTCAAGTTTAGCTTAGTTTCTAGGTTGATTTTAGATTTAGTTTAGGTTTAGTTTATGTTTCTTAGGTTAGCTTTTGCAATGTTCTTAAAAATCTAAAAAGTCGAGGTCAAATAATCCAAATCAAATTATATGCATGGTCAGTAATAAAGTGCAAGTTTTTTTAAATTGAAGCTTAAATAAATAAGTTATTACTTTTAATATTATTTTTATGTTACATAACTTACTCACGTAAAAATGAACACAAAGATGGTTCATTTAGATTAGTATCTATAACAAAAAATAGTTGATAAAAAATAAGTAATAAACAGTGATTATCTTTTTCCGGATATTTCTGGAATTCCCGGTATTTTTCTCAACTTTTAGTTTTTATGAATATACAAAATGTTTTCCGTACATGCAAGTTTAGGTATATATTTTGTAATATATTTCTTTTTTAAGCTTTTTCACTCATCACTCATACAAAAATTAGGAAAAGTTTGAAAAAATAATTGAAACAACTCAGCTAAAAACAAAACTAAGAGGAAAATAAGGAAAAAAATATTCCAGATATTTTATCCAAACAATTATCTGGATTTTAAAAATATGACCTGGACGATCTATGAATAAATAACAGGCTTTCACTGGAAGATGTGCGGTTTCACGTCTTTATATGACCACGCAAGTAACATTTTGCTATGACGGTTTGACCGCGGCTAATTCAATAAACATTTTAGAAATGCGCTAAATAAAAAATATTCTAAAAAAGTGAAAATTACATCAAAACTTCTTAACAAATGTTTTTATATTAGCGAAACAATTTTAAATAAAGTAACAATTTACTGAAAAAAAGTTTTGTTTTTTAAATATAATTGGCAGTTGTATATTTTTTTTTAATTTAAAACATAAATTGTTTAAGTGTTTATTTCTAAAATAAATCTTATTAAAAAATAAAAAATTATTTTGTTTTTATAAACGATGACATTCTACGACTACGAAAGTCTAATGAATTTAAATATAAGAATGATTAAAGTTAATGCGTTTAAAAAGATAAACAAAATTTCGTTAAAAAAAAAGTTTTAGAAAATCGTTACAATTTAATAAGTTTGATCTTAAATGCTTTTATATTATCGAAACGCTTTTAATGAAGTAAAAAAAAAAAACACTTTTAATTAATTCTAAAAAAAGCATTAATAAAATATTTTTGTATTTTATTTATAACTATGTATTTTTTATGAGAAATATTTAACTTTTGAAAATATTAAATAAATAAAAAGTATATAAAAATATTGAAACAAAGATTGAAAAGGTTTTTTGTTAGTTAGATGAGTTTTGTTTTAGTTGCGTTATATATATATATATATATTTATTTTTTTGTATTTTTGCTTTAACTAAGTGTTTTTTTTTATTTTCTCTTTCATTAATATTTATTATTTTTTTAAATTTTTTGTTCAGATAAGTTTAGGTAAGTTTTTGTAGCGCGTTTTTAAATTTTAAAAATATGCCGTGGTCAAATAGTAAACTTTTTTTTTTAGCGCGGTCATATAAAGACGTGAAATTGCACGTCTTCCTGTGAAAGCCTGTATAATAAAAATTGATAAATAAAAATATTGAAAAAAAAAAATTTTGTAATTTGAATTAACTTACTAAGGTTAAAAATGCTTTAAACAATAGAGATTAAAAATCAATGCTTCATAATAACATAATATTTGTTAATGCTAGTTTAATTAGTGCTAAGCTAATCTTTAACATTGGTTTTCTGGCAGAATGACCAAGCAAATTATACTGATGCAGATGATGTTTTTTAGTATCTATGCTGCAGGCCTTGTGATAAAGCGTCAGCCGATGTGAATTTTACGTCGTCCAAGAGCGATTTTGCATGTAGCAAGGGCTATTTGCGTCGAGCAAATAACCCTAGCTACATGCAAAATTTTTGTTTGAGTATATTTAAAGATATTTTTGAGTGGAATTTTAATGAAGTAATTTTCGATTATTTTAACATTTAATAAAGTATTTTAAAAACCGCACGCAGTTGATATAAAAGTTTGAATTACAAAAAAATTAAATATGCTCATTATTTACAAGTAGAAAATTATTCAGATTAAAAAAAAGTTCAAATCTTTTTAAGCTAACATTTTAATAAAATTATTCAGCAATAGCAAAGTTGTCGATAAAATTGAACAAAAATACTTTCTTTTAGTTTTAGATTTTTAACTTAAATAATTATTTTACAGAGATTTGTTAGGTTTTAAAATTATTCCATAGATTTAAAAATATTTATTAATTGTTAGACATTTAAAGTATTTAAGAGTAATTTCGAGTAAACATTTTAAAAATTGGTAAGCGCAAATAAAAAAAAATAAAAGCATTAATATTAAAACGTATCCTTGAGGTTGCGATCGCATCACAAAACAAGTTACTATCTTTGTTGGGGGAAAACATTGAACAAAATGCGTTATTAGCACGTTTTGTTTAATGCCTTAACCCGGCTTTAAAATTAAAACAATGAACAAAACGCGCTAATCACGCGTTTTGTTCAATGTTTGTAAAAAGTAACTCGAAAAAAATTACTTAAATAATAACAATCGCTTTTTTGTTAAAAGTTACCGAAACTCAACAAAGCGCGCTCAAGAACAGCTGCTGAAAAATAGAACGTCAATAGTTTTTCGAATAATTTTTAAGAATAATTTTTAAGAATAATTTTTTCGCTGAAATATGTCTTTTATACCTATAAGATTTTTATTCTAACATTTTATTTTATTTTATTTTACTAAAAATAAAACTCCTTGTTAACATTAAAAATCTATTCAAAACATTTATTAAAGTTTTTTAGTAATACGAGTGATTGTGCTTATCAACCGCTTTATGAAAATAAATAAAAATAAATAAATAAAAAAATATTATATAAAATCGCTAGTAAAAATATTAGCTATTGCACAGTTTTTAATCGTACAAAATTAAAATTTCCAGTTTATTACTCGCTGACTTTTAAAAAAGAAAAAATAAATATTTGAAAAACGTTAAATTACATATTTGAGAAAAAAAAATCAAGTATTAGCATATTTTATAGTCTTTTTTAAATGTTTAGTTATAATGTTTTTTATTTGTTTAGTATAGACAAAATGTGTCAGTGGTCGAGAAAATAAACAAATGTTTTTTTATTTTAAAAAACAAAACATTCCAAAACATTTTTAAATAATAACATTTCTACATTAATGATTTAAAGTAGTTTTGCGGTAATTAAGTAAATTAATGCAGTTGATGTCGATAAATATGAAAAGCAAATAAAAAGAATTTAATGACGTCAAAAATCATGTCGTGCATATGTGTCGCACAGTTTTATTCATCACAAGGCCTGATGCTGTACTTGACACTAAAGTTCTTTCTTAAAATGCCATTTAATTCAACATCGCTTTTGTGAGAATTTTGTTTTTGATTGTCTCAATGAATTTCCGCCTTAAATTTCATTTTTCATGTGATAAATTCATTCAATTAAATCAAAAAAAAAACAAATATTTAACTAATAATTAAACATAAATATGTTGCTAAGTTACTTAAAGTATATTAAATGAGCCCTAAATGGAATTTTTTTATCTGTCTTTTTTTTTTATTTTAAAACAGTAAAGTATAAATACCTTCTTATTGTATACTATTTTATGCATCCCTTAAACTGGTTTTAACACTATTTAAAATCACTATTTTAAACTCTAGTTTTAATTTTCTTCTTTTAATTGTCTTTTTTTTTTTCTTGTTTCTACTAGTACTTTTCATATGTTTTATAATAGTAAACATTCCATTCCTATACAAAATCAAGTAAATAACTAATAGTTTTCTTCCTCCTAAATTATTGAAACATCCTCGGTTTTATATTATCATTACTAGGTTAGCAAACATTGTTTATTGCTCTGGGAAGTCTTTTCGATTATGTGCAGAGAGATAGTCTGTTTATTGACTTTTTTTCAACTAGTAGCGTGGACCCAAAAGTGGGGTTATTTAAGGCTAGATGGGTTTGTGGAACACATTTTTTCCAGCGGAAGATTAAGTAGCAAAAATATAGAATGATTGACTTATAACTAAATTAATAGTTGTTGCCATAGTTTTTGTACTAGAACCTCAAATGTAAAATCTGTATATAAAATGGGCACAGTATAACGTTTTAAAAACAAAGCCTGAATCTATAATAATTATTTTGTTGTAAAGAAAAGATATCTGTAAAAACTTTTATAAAGCTTTATCATAACGCTATCCTAAAATAATATATAATTATATTTTGAAGGATTCGTTTAATGAAAATATCCTATAATGATATTATAGAAAAAAATTTCCTATAATATTATAGGAAAAATAAATAAAGAAATTAATATTTATATAGACTTTATTGTTTTAAAATGTCATACAATACAACTAATTAAAATAATTATATTCTTAACTTTTCATATGTAGGTTAAACTAATTTTACTATAATACTATAACCTCATCTTTTATATTAAACATATTCAATAAATTGAAAATAAAAATAAATTAAAACAAATTCAAAAAAATATAATTAACCGTTTAAAAATGCACCTTTGTCAGGTTGATGTTAGCTTGTTGAGTTGGTAACAACGGTGTTGTTGTAATCATTTTCTGGTGTAATGCTCTTATTTCCATGTTTCTAAATGAGATATCTAATATTATATATAAGTTTAATATTTCTCAACATTATTAATGACTTAATGAAAATACATCTAGTATTTTTAACAATTCCATGCCTTTTTATATTTTCAAAAAATTCTGTCACTAAAAAATTATTTATCATTTAAATTTTTTAATCATTTTTGTTCATATCAAATTTTATCATTGAATAGCTTTAAATGGCTGTAAAAGATGGTTTAAAGCAATAGCTTTTTTATATAGAGCATGTTAATGTCATTTCGGATTGCTGAGCTTCAAACTCTATTGGGAGCGTGTGGAAGATCAAGATCCGGACGTAAACATGAGTTGCTTGGTAGAGCTATAAGTTTATTGAAATCTTCATCTGTTGCACCAAATAGGGACAAAGTTCGTGCTAGAATTTTAGAACTTTATCATCAGCGTTATCCACCTGGTGGTGTAGAATTACCAGAAATAGCATTGGGCAATCCTAGCAGTTTGCAAACATATCCTGCTCAACCGTACATGCAGTATCCTAGAGAGGAAGATGACGACTCTTCAAACTTTATAAACAGATCAAGCAATTCATACAAAGATTTATCACATAAGTAAGTTTAATTTTATGAATTTATTATTATTTACCAAGTCGACCTGGTAACATTCCAAGCACCCAATTTTTTTTTTTAATGAATTAAACAAAAAACTTATAGAAAGATATTTGTGAAACAAAATTTCCTAAAATAAAAACTAATCAAGTTTATCAATTCTTGTTATATGCTTCTGACACTCAAGTGTAAAAGATATTTTTACCTAACTTTTAATTGTATAATCCTTAAATTGTGGCTGTACAATCATTCATCTAGTTTACTATACCGCATTATGCAGTTATATTTTTATATTTCTTTTTAATAGTTGTGTTCATAATAAAGGGAATGTTTAAAAAAAAATGATTAGGTGGAGTTTTTTTATTCAAACAAAATAATAAATATATATAAAAAAAAACTAACTTCGTAGTTTTAATTAAAGCTCGCATTCAATTAAAACTACATTTTAGTTAGGGTTGTTCGCCGAAAAACAAAACTTGCGAAAATTTCGCATCTTTATCTACCGTAATAGAATTGTTATTGTGGAAGTTGCACATGCAAAAATGCAAATTCCGTAACGCGCTATACGAAAATATAAATAAATAAAATTCCGTAATAAAGCATTGCGAAAGAAAATTTACGAAACAAATCATTTCGAAAGAATACTTACAAAATAGTTCCTTACGGAAAAAGCATTCCGGAATGTGCAGTTACGAAAAAGACGCAAAAGATTTTAGGTTACGATATATTTAAGATAATAACTGTTAACAGTTTAAATAATAAATAATAAAATTATAAAAAAATGTTGTCAAATGATTCTTCAAATTTATATATATTATATATATATAATATATATAATATATATATATATATATATATATATATATATATATATATATATATATATATATATATATTTATATATATATATTGTATATATATTAGGTATATTTGTTTATACAAATATACCTAATATATATACACACACATTCAGGCTTGGTCGGGAAGCGGGAGCGATCGCTCTCGAATACTGACCACGGAAATTATATTTAGTTGCGTAAAACTGGCCAGGTTTTTTAGTCGTTTTGAGAACATTTAAGTTTATGTACGAAACAAAAAATTTTTGTTTTACGGACATACATGGAAACATAAAAAACTTGAATGTTCTCAAAACATCTTTGTGCGAAAGAATAAAAAGAATGTTTGCGAACACTAAAAACCCGCCAAATTAACGAACAAACTAATTCTATTGGTTCAAAAAATACGCTGATTAAGTGAAATAAAGTTCTAGAGTATTCTGTTAAAATGTTTTAGAAATTGTATTATTCACGATTTGTTACGTTTTGAGATTTTTAGCATTGTTTTAAGAATTTATATTATTTGTTTACGAAAATAAATGTTTTAAATATATATTAGTTAAATTGTTAAAATTTTCAAAGTTTATTATAAATCATAGATTTTATTAGTATATTCTTATTTTTTATTTTAAAAGAGATTGTATTCTTTAAGTAAACGTAATTTTGTGTATTTATTTTTTATCGTAATGTATCTTTTAAAGCAATTTTTATGATTTAAACAAAGACTTACAAAAATAATTGTGTTTTTAATGAAGTTTTAATCGTTAAAGTTAATAAAACTAATTATGTAACAAACATATAAGAAGTTTCTGGTTACTAAACACAAACAACGCATACAAAGTAACTCGCGGATGAACAAGCATCGCGCCTGAGGTCACGACAGAACACAAATATATATAGCAAATAATTAGATATAAAGAAAAATTTCTAGATATTGATTTACTAACTCTAATTATTTTTGCTTAAGTTGCCATTCTCAAAACTCGTTATACTTTTTTCTGCTTTAAACACTAATTAAAATTTAAAAGCCCACTCACTAAACATCATCAGCGATATTGTGAAGCAGTTTCGTTTCCTGGTCATTAAGTATTTTAAACCTTTTTAGTTGATTTCTATCTTGATAATTTAATTCTTATAGTAATTCAATGATTTAATTATTTCATTTGTTTATCTTACTAAGAAGAATCGCTTTAAATATGTTAAACTTTTCAAACTACGCGAAACATAAAATAGGTATTGAAAAAATTAACTTTTTTATTTATAAAATAAATTAAGCTTAAGTAAAACTAAAACTTGCAAACTTAGTTAAATAAAGAATATTTGTTTTCCTTTTAAACAATCTTTTAAGTTGACGGTTGTATGTTTCTATAAAAAACATTGCTTAATTTTATAAAAAAAATTATAAAAGAGCGATATTTCGAAAATATTTGTTTTAAATGTAATTTATTTAGCTTTAAATTTTTTCGCGTTTAAAGATATTTTATTTGCCTACTTTTTTTTTTTTGTAATTGTCTCTCGTCGGTCCAATTAATCTTCATCGCTTTTTTTTTTTTTGCTTTTTAAAATGTTCTCAAAACGACTAAAAAATCTGGCCAGCTTTTCGCAACTAAATATTATTTACGTGGTCAGCAATCGAGAGCGATCGCTCCCGCTTCCCGACCAAGCCTGCACATTGTATATATATTAGGTATATTTGTATACCTAATATATATACAATGTATATATATTAGGTATACAAATACCTAATATATAGGTATTTGTATACCTAAATTGTGATAAACAATTAAATACTTTATTATAAAGAACGAGAGATCTCTCTAAAGGTAAATGATATCAGAAAGAGTAAAAAGAGAAGAAATATATGTGAAACAGCGAGATGTGAACCTGGGTCTACGCGGCCAAATGTCTTAACTGAATGAGCTATACGTTTATTCAACTAAATGAATAGTAATATTTATTTATTATATAATTAAGAAACTATATAAAACAGAATTTACAGAAAGAGATACGTATGCAAATAGGATTCTATATATCAGGTAAATGAATAGTAATGTGAACCTTTAGTTGCTTATAATTAATATCTGGACTCAAAAACTAGTTACTTTTAATGGAGCACAATAGGCTGTAGGAGCCTCAGGGAAATTATATTCAGAAATGATTATATTAGACTCAGAGTTAGCTAGAAATTATTACAAAGTGTTTAGGACAGATGTCTAGTACAAAAAGCACAAGATTTAAAGCAAAATGAATTATTATTTGAAAAAGTTGTTTTACGTATATTTCATCATAATTTAAGTAGAACTTAGTAAAGCAAGGGAAACGTGTAGAATTAAGCACAATGAACTCAATCTTAAAAGAATAACTAACAGAAGAGAGGTTGTCACTATTATGAAGGTGACGAAAGATCTGTAATATAGAACATGGAGGTCAAAAAATGCTATCTTAAGTAAAAAGAGTTTGATGAACAAAAGTTACAATGGCTGCGGGATGCGAACCCGGATCTCTGCGGCGAATTATCACGTATCTAACTGATTGAACTATACAATCTTATACTCAAACTTATATCTTATTAAAATTAAAAAACAATATTTTCTAAGATCTATACTTCGAAAAGCGTATTCAAACAGGACTCTACATACCTTTAAAATCTGCTAGAACTTTACACTTTTAGAAATTATTGAAATAGGTATATTTTATCAGAAATATGCTTAAGCTAAAGCATATTTTTGAGCCTCTTTTTACTATTTGCTTAAGCATATTTGAACCTGTTTCAAAAATTTTATATGCTTTAAAAAAACAAAACATGTATATTCCTACCTATCATTCTTATTTTTAATATACGTAATGAGTTCAAAAAACATCGTTATATATATTTATTATGGCACGTTTCGTAAGTTTATTTCCGTTAAGAATTCTTTCGTATGTTGTGATCCGAAATACTTTCGTTTCGAAAGAAATTTTATTTTTTATCAATATTTCTAAAAATAAAACCATAAAAATTTAATATGTTATTAAACTGAAAATAAAAATTCATTATAAACATTTTGGGATTTAAAGATGTTAATTTTTACAATTAAAATCAGTCTGGCAAACAAATTTTCTTTATAGACTTCAAAACGTCGTTTGGCGAAAATGTTTGTTTCGCAAGTGCGACTTCCGAAACCGCTACTTTCGTATGTTGCGAAATAGTTTTGTTTCGTATGTAAACTTGCGAAATGCTAAATTTCGGAATTGGCTTTTGCGAAATGTACATCGGCGATTTTAAACGTTTTGTAACATTCGGTACGAAAAAATGTAATTCCGTGTTCTACGAAAGAATGTTGTTTTTCCGGAATTGCACGAAATCCTCCGGTTAACAACCCTAATTTTAGTCAGAACTTTAAGTCTTAAAAATACACACTTTTTTTGACATAATCTTCAGACAATATAATTTACTCAAGCATGTTTAATTCCAAAGAATTTTAGTATATGACATCATTGTAGAATTTTTATAAGAAATCTAGTTCTTTATTTATTAATTTTTTTTTTCCTTCAACATTTTGTTTAATTATTTTATTTTCTAATTTTTGAAAAGTTAGTATTAAAAATATGGTTAAAATATGACAGTATTGTCATTTTTATACTGAAACTTATAAAAAGTAAACTCGCTTGAATAAATTATAAAGTCTGTAGATTGCGTCCAAAATTGAAATTCTAACTAAAATAAAGAAGACATTCTTTGTTTAAAACTCTTAGGTTAGCTTTTATTAGTATACGTTTATTATTTTGTATATTAAATTTCATTTACTGACACATTTCTTAATAAAGCATTTACTTGTTTAGTAATAAATTATAAAAGTTTCACTTTTCTTACAAAATAGCTCTACTACAAATCTTTGGTGTATAAAATAAACAATAAAAGTAGTCAAAGTTTAATAAAATTGTTTTGCAACTTCAGTCATAAACTCAGTGTTAAGCTAAAGACAACTGAATGTGTACCAGGAATCAATACTAGCAAAAGAGCTTTGGTCAAAATAACATTTGCTTGAAATTTTGGCTTGCCAAAGCTTGCTCCAAATTGGATCTGTCAACCAGACTATCTGTAAGGATAGTCTGGTTGTAAGGATAGTAATCCACAAAACAAGAATAGTCATCTCTGTAATTAGGTACCAAAGTATCAGTTTAAAG